CCTCGGCACTGGGGGGGGCTCAGCGGCCATCGAGGACCGGGTACAGCCTCCCCTACGGTCCCGCAGCGCCTCACACGGCCACATGGAGCCCCTCACCGCCGCCTGTGAGGCGCACGGGAAGCAGAAAGGGGGTGCGGAGGAGTTAACAGGATTTGACCGAGGCGCTTTATACTGCCCGGGCACTTTCTCCCAAGTCGGTGGTGGCGTGAATTGGCCCGGCAGGAGTTTATGGTGGGCTGTTCCTGGTTATAAAAGCAGATGATAGAGAAGGTTATGTCACCAGCTGCCTGTGCTCTGTCACACAGGTTGCAGGGAAGCACAGCAATAGCGTTTATAAAATCTCATCGTGCAAGGGGTGACTCAAACCTCGCATCCTATCTTTCTCTTGCAGTCCGGGGGAGGCCTGCAGGAGATGTTGCCTGCCTTTGCTTCAGCTACCAGAACTCTTCTGGAGATGCTCCACCGGCAAGGCCTGGCTTATTTTCACCCTCCGTTGTCCTCTCAGCAGTAAAGGGCGCGTAACCTGGCCAAAATTAACAGACAGCTTGGAGCCACCCTGCTGGGTGCTGCGGGGCGAGCTCTGGCGTGTCACTCCATCTCATTGCGCCCCAGTGAACAAGCTGAGACACACAGGACTGGAAATAACCACCAATGCACAAAAAGAGAGCAGATGCTTAGGAAGAAAACGGTGCCATTAACTTAATCTAACTCCAATACCTTACAATTATACTTACCCTGATTATTTAATTCCCAGAGAGAAACATTTTAATAACAGTTACAAAAATGTACAGTTCACCTTTGTCTTTTTTCCTTCCAAGACTTGATGCAGAATGAAGACAGATCTAAAAGGGAAGCTCTTCTTTTGGACTGAGTACCAGCAGCGGGAAAGGCAGTGTAACAAAACAGTAACTGCTGAAGGTGAGATGGCAAAGACCTTCAGAGATTATCTAAATCCATCCAATCTTAACAGCAGAACAAAAGACCAATCACATTAATTAAACCCACTCACACAAGTAACCTCAGATCAGCTGTTAAGACGTTTTTGGTTTACAGTTGGCCGCCACCTTTCAGGCGCGCAGAGAATAAAACACAACTTCAAGAAGGTTTAGCATCTCAGTTCAGACACTTCACACGTACTAGCACAACCCAGCTCAGCGAGGCAAAACAGGCAAGCAGCGAAACTGCTGACCTTGTTATAGGCACAGTCTTTGCTCTGTTCTCCAGATTTTAAACTGTCAACGCGTTGGGTAGGGGCTGTCTGGGATTCTGCATTCTGTAGCAAACAATCCTAGCTGGATGCTTCTGCTGCCACTGACACAAGCAATTCATAAAATAAATACATCCAACTGCTTTTTCTTTCCTGCTGGGACTACCAATACACTACACCAGCTGCTGTAGATTTTGAAACAGATGCATTCACCAGGAACTGGATCACAACAATTTATATAACCCAGGCCAACAGACATGAGGGGACCCAGCCTTCAGTCACAGCTACCACCGGTCATAATTATCTGCTCATATGGATGTGCCCTCTGTGGCTCTCTTGCTAATTAAACAGCAGTTTGTGTCATTCATCAAAAGAATTGGACTAATAGAGCAACCGAGGTCATTAAAGCAAGGCTTCAGCTGAAACAGGTGTGTGCAGTGGTTTGCAAATAAGGCTGAACCTGTTCACAGGAGCTGCTCAGGCCCAGGCCCTGTACAAGGTCAGCCTTCAGCAGAGCAGCACACAGCTGTGGATGTGGAGTTGCTTGAACTTACGGCTCACGGTGTTTGGCAAAAGGCCGAGGTACTGGCGAAAAGCTATGGTGGGCTGTGACACAGCGGTTCACTTGTGTTCTTCAGTACATCAACTACAGCCTTATTTATATTCACAAAAGTTCTCCTGTTTCCCCTTTGGAGATGGCAAGGCCTGGGTTCAGTGCAGGTTTCAAGACAGTCCTGAAACTGTGGATTTCAACCCTGGCTGCTTATGATAAGCTCATAGGCTAAGTGTCACACTGCCACCCAGATTGGAAGCAGAAATGCTCTTTGCCCTCGTTATGCCTCTCCACTGCTCTGCTGTGGCTGTAATGACAGATAAGGGCATGCACTGACAGGCCTCAACTGGAATAAAAATTACTTTCTGGACCGCGAGAGAGCTGGTGATACTATGCCCCTTTAACCTCCCTGCTTCAGTACTACAATAGGAAAAAGGAAAATAGAGAGGAAAAAGCACTCGCAATTAAAAACAGCTCTTCTGATAATTAGGAGAATATCCTCTTGGGAGGACACTTGGTGACTGGAGGCATGAAACATTAGTTATTAACAGAGGTAGTGCCCAGGCACCCTGGGCAGATAAAACAATGACTGGCAGGTTTGTGAGCACCAGTCTTCCAACTCTGTAAAGGCATGGAGAGATGATCCCAGCTCCACGAGGGACCTGCATTTACATTTGCTATTATCATCTCCATTAATTATCCTCCTTTCATACGACAGGGGCAAGAACTAGGAAAGAAAGAAAACAATGAGACACCACCTTTCTAGCTTAGCCTTTTCTTGTACTTACTTATAATCTCGTGTTTTTTGGTGGTATTTTTCTCCTTTTTTTTCACCCTTTTTTATTTCCCAGCCAGTATTTCCTCTCTGGATTTTCAGCCAGATGTCTGAAAGGTACAACCAAAACCACGGTTTCATACTGAAATATCAAGAAAACATCAGACTCCATTTTTGATGGCCTCAAACAACTATCACATTTCTCCAAGAAATCAGAAATCACTACAAAATACCAGCAGTTGGAATGTGGCAGTTTTCATGTTTACAAGCCACTTTAGTCACTGCATGACAATATTCTGCTACTTCACAATGGTTTACTTTGAGGCTGTAGAGGGGCTACCCTGAAGTCTTCCTAGATGTGCTGGAGAGATGGCTGGTAGAAGAGGGTCTCCGTCTGATAAAGCAGTTTGTAATCAACTGGAAAACCACTGGTCAAGCAGAGAAGCACCTCAGTGCAGAGGACTTACAAAGGAAGTAGTTCCCAGTGAAACACCATCACCTTCTGCTTGGCCAGTGGCTAACACTGGAGCAATGAGTTCCTGCATCACTAGGAGATGATTTATTAGTCACAAAGGTTGTGTTATATTTTTATTGTCTTCACAGATAAATCAGGCCAGCAAGACATCTGTAACCGTACACACAAAATATTTATCAAAACAATTAACATTACAAATCTCCTTTTAAAATAATTTATTTCACTGATTTCTTTTTAAATGGTACTGTCTTACAACATACATTATTCAACAAAGATGTGCTGAACAGACTCTAAAATAAGAAACACTTAAATTAAGCAGTTGTCTTCTATTAGAATTTCAGTTTCACCCACATCCTAACTTGTAAACGTCTGGTGGAATACGTTGTAGGCTTGGTTTTTGTGCTTACAAAAACAGCATCGAGTTTCCAGATGTTGAAAAGACAAAGTTAATTGTACGATAAGTATGCGTTCAGTTCAACATTCAAGGCAACCGAATGATTCTGTCGTTAACGTTAGCATCATGTATATTTTAGTTCACTGCACTAACATTTAAACTAAAACTTCAAACCACATAATCTTTTAAGTGACTAACATTTAAAAGGCAAGCAGTAATATCCTGAAAGCTTACGAAGGACATCAGCACACAGCTAAGATGGGGTATCATTGGACAAAGGCTGCGGATGTGTGTATGGCTGCTTTTTTTTGTACGAAGCCCACCTGCAGACGGGGCAGCAGTGTCGCCCGCCGGCCAGACACATCACGATGCAATTCTGGTGGAAGACGTGGCCGCACGGCAAGCCCATCAGCAGACAACCGTTTGCAAAATTTTCTAGACACACAACGCATTCTGTACAGTGCAACATCTCGGAGGGCCAAGCTGACCAGTCCGGCTCCATGTCACCTGCGGCGCTGTATGAGCCATAGGATCTCGCTTTCCGTCCGTATGGCTCATGATGACAGGATTTATTGGCACATGAACAGGTCCCAGGGCTGCACCGAGGCTCTCCCTCGCTGCGCCCAGGAAACGCGTTTAGCTCATCGTCCTCCGAGACTTCTCTTTCACTGCTGAAGACCTCTTTGTTTTCACTGTCAGAGTCACTTTCGCTGTCTTGAAAGGTTTCCGGCGTTTCCTCATCAGAATGGGCGCCCAGGCATTTAAACCTCCACATCGGTAAGTTTTTTATGTAATCGGTTGGTATCAGAGGGTGAAGCCAGAGATCAGGGAAGGCCAACCGCTCCAAGAACAAATCCGGGTCTTCATCCCAATCTGAGTCAAAAGGAAAGTGTTGAAAAGAAGCAATAGGATGAAACAAGTAGCTGGTGTACCAGTCCCACAGGCTTGACAGCCACTCCAGATTATTGGCGTTGACTTCGTCGGTGTTGTTATTGCGTCTTCTTTTCTTCTCAAAGTAATCGATTAGTAAACCGTGACCAAGGTACGTGCTGAGGAAGAGGGCTGGATGTGAAGAGTAGAACATCCAGTCGGCTCTTACCCAAGAAGCCAAAGTAGTTGTGTTCGAGTACCTGAAGAGTTTTAAACTGTACTCATAAAAGCTGTCTAAGTAGGGTAGTTGCAAAAACCCTAACACGGGTAGCCAGGAAATAATTAATAATGAATTATACGTCCCTAAAGTGCTTATAAGAACCACAAACCGCTTTATAGTAGCGCCTTGTGTAATAAACAGGTCCATCCAAGCCATCAGATTAACCAAAACCAAGCTCAAAACAAATAAATCATTAACTTCTGGTTGTAATGAGCGCAAAAAGGAATCCATGGCACGTAGTGATATGAATTCACCAGTGTTGTTTCCATACCTGTAAATCCCCTCAGGAGTCCTAAGTATGTACGATGGTGTCTTGTAGACACCAATTTCTGCCATGTAACTTTTGTTGTCCCAGTTTTCCACGTTCACAAAAATAAACTCTACTCTTCCAGTAAACTTTACACTTAGTGCAGAAAAGAACGCCGGAGGCTGGTCGAGGTTGGCAAACAGGTATATTTTCACACGGTACTGGTCGCTTTTGTTCCATTCTTCTTTTAAATGTTCAGAGTTGTAGATGGTTTTAATCCGAGAAGCAGCATGGGCTGTGATCCATTTGAAGATGTGCTCCACTTCGATTTTGCGCCCGCTGTATTCCTTGAGCATTACTTTTCCCTTGGAGGTACTGGTTTGTGGAACCGACATAATGAGGGTGGATTTCAGCCAACCCCTCCTCCTGCAGTACCTATGAAGAAAATGGCAAGTTAGATTGCAGAGTTTCATACTGCTGGAGCTGCAATCCTTAAATGTCTACTGAGCCCCAAAATGAGACACGCTGAGCACCTGCAAATCTTTACATATAACAGTAGGAAATACGGGCACCCAATATTCACTGGCAAAAATGTATTTATTCTTACAATACATTTGCTATGTATCTTATGGAAATGTTGTAGAGATATGTATTCATAAAACAGGAAGAGGAATAGTGTTAATTTTCACGTTGGCAGTTGCTTTAACAAAGCTGACAAGGATTCACTTCCTACTGGGCCCATTTTGGAAGGATGCAGACGGGCCAAGAGGTGTGGTGAGAGAGCTCACCACAAAAACCAGCGGAAGAGGAAGCAGACGTGTGCTGCTGGATGATCTGGGCTAAAAGAATACAGGCAGAGTGCTGAGATGGGGCGAACTCCAAATCCATACCTAAAAGAAGTGACCCTTCAAGGCTGAACCCCGAGTCATGGTCTAGACCCCAAGTAACCATGAGATTCGGAAGTGATTCAGAAGATCCCTTCTCTCGTGTATCTTTTGTATCAGCATCACAACGCCACCCAACTTATCTAGTCCTTTTTAGGAAGTGTCTGGCAAGAGGAGCCCTAAGAGATTACCCTACTAATAACGGTATCCTGACTACTGCAGTGTGCAGTGCTTTTCTGAATTTTAGCTGCAATGTGATGAAAACTATACACCAAGGTTACTCAACAAAACATTTCTTGTATTAGGAAAAAATGAATTCATTTAAAACATAATATTTGATTAAGACTAGTTAGGAGCTATGCAAAGAGAAACACTGCCAAATTTTTAAGATGCTCAAATACCAGTGTTTTGATTATACAAGATTATTTTGCATAAGCACTGCAAAGTCTAAGAATTTTCTCTTATGATTAACTTCAAGAATTCTCTAAACACTTAGGACTTAAGCAGTGTAAGACATGTGCGTATCCGTGCATACCACTGGAATTCCAGACAAAGTTTCCTGTCATGTGAAGCGAATGCTTCCAACAAATTGTTTAAAAAACCCCATTTTTACAGCAGCACAGCACTACTTATTTGACTCTGCTGTTCTTCCTTGTTCAAAATCACATGCAAACAGCAGTGAATCCTGCACAGCTCACTGTATGTTGTCAAAGGGTGTGTGGAAGTTTATGTAGAAACATACACACATTTCTCAGGGAACTGGATTTGTCAGTCATCCTGAGAAGCAGGCACTGTTTGCAAGGTTCATGCTAACCTGTGTTTCTCCTTTCTAGGTGGTGATACAATGACTCTACAACTAGTCCAGTTCTCTTACATGGGCTATAGGTGTTCAGCTTTGTCCTAAGCAAGCACAGTTCGTGTCCCTGAAGACCTGGACTATAAGGCCAGATTCTTCTACTCGTTCTCTTCCATCTCTGTATTACACCCCACAGAGTCTAACCATGTATTTCCCACATGATGCTTTAGGAAGCTGCAGATCTGTGTTTATGGTGCTGATAAATAATGTAATGGAGAATTCTGAACAGGCTTTAGTAGAGATAAAAAACATGAATAAGGCCACCCTCTGTCACAGCTACTTTTACAGCACAGCAAGCCCTGCTGCCAGAACACAGCCCAAGCCTTAAGATATTCTTGGGATTTAGATAATCCTTTAAGAATATACCTGGGGTCACTGGAACAGTTAAACGTGCCAGTACGTATGCCAAATCTGGATACTTTCTTCACCATTTTCTCCCAGTGGACTTTACCCACCAGCGGGCTTCTGTCGTTCGCTATGACCTACGGCCAAAAGGAAATAATAGTTTAATACCACAGTCAGTTTGCTTCCTGAAATAAAGAGTGAGTTTCCTGAAAACAGAGATCTAGTCACCCTTGATATTGTTCTCCCCTTCTCTTAGAACATACAATAGGATATAAAACTGGTAGTCACACTGAGTGTCTTTGGCAAGTGAAGCTTTAAGACAGAAATAGAGTTTCTGCAGAAAGACATCAAATGCATCATCACTGTAAGTACCTGTTAAGATAAACAAATCTGTGGTAGCTAACAGAAACCTTGGGGAAATAATAAAAATATCATTAACCACTTCACAGTAGGGGAGAAAGGAAGAGGGTGCAGCAGGTTTCTCTTCTTCGCAGTAAAAAAGCATTAGTTTATTACCGTTCTCCACAAGAAGTTACAACGTACCAAAAAAATGTTGTCTCAGAGCGAGTAAAATGGGTTAGAATGTATGTACCTGGTACCAGACCAGACTGCCAACAACCGCTTCTAAGCAGAGGAAATCACTGATTAAACTCCCAGATAATGCCTAAAAATCTCGACTCCTTCCAGCTTTGCCAGTGACTCACTGTAACTTTACACGACTGCTCCACCAACTCCGCCGTCCTGGCTGCCAGTTCAGGATGATAATTCACTGTGATCCAACCCAAGGTCTAATTTGTTCTAAACTTGTATATTAAAGTAGTACTTCAGGTTTCCTAGATATAAGCTTCTACAAATGACAAAGCAGCAGCACTCATCCTCTGACTTATTACTGTACAGGGAAGGGGAAAAAAAAAGAAAAAGAAAAACCTGCCCGCCCGCAGCTGACAGGTAATTTTGAATGACATGACTGATCACGCATTATTCCATGAGCTGTCGCAGTTTCTATTTTAGAAATGCCTCACATGCTCCTGCAGGCTGACTGGCAGCCACTTAAAAGACGTTTTTAAATTAAGTTTTGAAACTTCCATTTGTTAGGTGTTTGTTTACCCACCATTAAACTTCTCCCAATCATTGTCTGGCTTAATAACCTGAAATGTCAGCTTTCCTCTGGAACTTGGGTTGTCACCATGATTAACAGTTCTCTATGTACAGGCTGAGACACAGAGCTGGAAAGCGTGTCTGGCCTTTGAGACTCAAAAAAACCCCCTACCTGCTTTGTGCTAAGTAGCAGCCGCTCAGAAACTAAAAATAAGAGAATTCACTAAGCAGAATGTTCTACATAGGGAAACAAAGTTAAACTGAAGTTACAGGTTACACTCTCATTCCACAGAGCCCAGCATGTTTAAATAAAACCAGAGGTGAACATCTAGATGAGAATCCTTCAAGTTATTCTCAAAACACACACATCACATAAAAAAGCCTTTCTGATTACCTGAACGTAGTCTTTGAGCACTGAAACAACCAGCAGGGGAAATCTGCCGTAATACTGAGGCTTCTTCTAGAACAAGGGGAAATGGCACCAAGCTGTGCCAAGGGAGGTTCAGGTTAGAGATAAGGAGGAAGTTCTTTACTGAGAGGGTCGTCAGAAGCTGGAACAGGCTGCCCAGGGAGGTGGTGGAGTCACCATCCCTGGATGTGTTTAAAGAGCGGGTAGACGAGGTACTTAGGGATATGGTTTAGTGGGTAGACAGGAACGGTTGGACGTGATGATCTCAGAGGGCTTTTCCAACCGAGCGATTCTGTGACTCTTTGCATCACCCAATGTAACTGAGACCATTACTTTGGATATTTTAAACTTCTCCCTTTCACATCACCCAATGAAACTGAGACCGTTACTTTGGATATTTTAAACTTCTCCCTTTCAGGTACTTCAACTACAAGGGACCACATTCCTGAAGCCTCAACGCCAGTACATCCTCAGAGCTCCTGTGGCGTGATAAATGCATCCAACATAGAAAGGAATCACTATGTTTTGTTAGTAAGCATAAAAGTAAAACACTGGTAACTGGATTACTCCTTGGTACAACTACTCAGAGATCGTTTGCTTCCCAAATTTTGTGTGCATGTTCTGAAAAAGCCTAGCACAGTTGTGGAGAATACACTAATGTTACGTGCAGGAGAACACATCCTGCTCAGCTGTTTCTTCTGTCTGGCATTACAATATTCACTTTCAGCGTCAAGAGAAGGAGATCTGTTGCAAATACAGTCACCAATATGTTTTACTGTCCTACTGCTGGATGTTTTAATACCAGTTTAATTCAGTTCCTATGAAAAAGTCTTTCCTCTCGGAGAAAGTTATTTATGCTGAAGGACAACGACAGAACTTGCAGTTCGTATTTTGTAACAAAACAGAGAGACCCCTGCTATGGTTTTGCACACTGAAGCTTTGTAAAATTTCTTGGGGTCATGCTTTCTTGTGTCATTACGGCAAAAAAAACCCCTCGAATAAACATGTCCGTGGCAGCTGCTCCTTGCAGACAACACTCACTTACAGCACTCGGAGTTCACCACACAGAGGTAAGGGTTTGTATTTTGGAAAGCAGTCATCACCTCTGCAGGTGAAGTACTCTGAGAAAATGCTGCGGGTTAAGGAATCACAATGTAATGCAGTTTAAAGATAACTCGCAAACACTTGTAACAGATTTTATTTAAGGAGTGTGAATTTTGATAAGCTAAGAAATTTAGCTTGGAAACCTGTGACTGAGGAGAAGAGGAATTTGAGTGTGGAGAAGGCCTGGAAATTCTTCAAGGCCAAGGTGTTAAAGCTATCAGGATTTTATATTTCAAGCAAGGGCCGAGCCCTGCACTCCGTCCTAGCAAGCACTTCCAAAAAGATGTTAGAAATAGTTTGAGAATCTACAAGGAATGAAAAAAGTCAAAAGGAAGAAGCAAAGAAAGGTGCGAGAGAAATTTTAAAAAAAAGAAGTAAGGAAGAATGAGCAATTCAAGTTAGACCATACAGCGTATTACAAGCTACATCAAAAGGTTTTTCAGCCATGTGAATATGAATAGAACAGGGGAAAAGCAGCAGGACTGCTGTTCAATGATGATAGGATAGAAACGTAAGATAATTTTTTTTTCAAAGTTAAATTAATGCTCTGACTCAGTTTTCAGTGAAGAGGAGCGAGCTGGCCACGGACAGGTTAGCGAGTTTATGGGAAGAGTTAAATCAAGAGTAAGCAGGCAAGCTCCATCCCACAGCTGAAATACAATGAGCACACAAAATTACACATGTAACTGCAAAGGCTTCTCACAAAACCCTTGTCAGCCTAATTTACATTTTGACAGGAGAATAACAAGTTAGTAACTATATTTAAGAGCGAATGAAAAAATTATCCCACCAGTTTGATCTCAAGAGCATGCAAAACTATGGAGCCAATTTTAAAGGTGCAGAGATGGCTGAATTTTCCACCCCTTTCCAGCATGGAATTACTAAAGATGTACCACTCCCAAATAAGTGGAGAGTTAAAAATCCATCTTTTCCTGGAGGAAGAGAACCGAGTTTCAAGAGAAACAGAATGTATCACCCTTTTTGTGCTTTGGTGGTTTATCTAGTACTGTGCCACATGGAAAACTGTCACGAAAACTGGAGATAGGTTTTTAGAGTAAGTTAAAAAAAGAAGTTTTAAAGTGAGTAAGAAATTGGCTAAGGCAAGAAAACATCAAAATGCCAGAGAGGTGCTAACAGACTTAATAGATTTACCTTAGAGCTCAGTTCACCATATATTCCTATTAATGTACCTTCTGCAGAAACATGAAGTCTCTCAAAACCATTTGTAGATGACATAAATTGGGAAGCTGGTCTATGTACAGAAAGGATTTTAATGCCATACAGGAAGAGCTGCACAAATCTCATAATCCAGAGTGTCAGAAATGAAATTGAATTCAATACTGAACGGGACACTCAAGGAGTTCAGCAGTTTGAGACAGTCACGGGAGGCAAAGCTGGGGTCTGCTAGAGGATCCAAAAGGAACTCTGAGCCATCAACGTTAACTGGCTGTGAAATCAGCAAAGCCCAGGGTGCATCATGCCTGACAAAACAAACTGGTTGATTGATCTCATGTACTGGGAGCAGTGGGGTAGACATCAAGAGTCAGTGAAACTAAAGAGCGACATCAATTTAAGCACTATAGAACAAATTATCCATGAATATGCTTAGGCCGGAAGTCAGACACACGTTTCCAAGAAGAGAGCAGTCAAGATGAGTATTACACTCCGACAACTTACAAATTAAGAGAGAGAGCAAGCTGTTTTATAAACATCTATTCCATAGTCTAGCAGAGCTGAACTCGCCCATCGAGATCTCTTTCAGTCATATGCTCTACCTCATTTTAAAGAAATAAAGGCGAAGCTCATAGCAGAAGGTAACTTTTAGGACATGAGCTAGCACAGCTGGGAAACAACCACCACATTTAGAGGAACACAAACCCATAGAGCTTTTCTTATTATTAGCTACCTCAACAACCTGCAACATATCATATGTCACAGTGACAAATAAGACAGGGAAGATAACCCAATTAATCCATTAATCATCTTAATGGGCTGAGAGAACCCAACAGGATCAAAGTAACCCTGCCATTTAACAATCCCACATCACGGAATAGATCTGCTCCCTGATCTACACCTAACCTATGGAAAGACGGAGATTTGGAAATCTCCTTTATTTCTACATGTTCTGATTGAGTTTTCTTGTTTAGTTTCTAGAAATACCTAAAAGAGTGGCTTCTAGATACCACAGAAAACAAAGTTAAAACACAATTCATCTAGGGATACAGAATACTGAAATAATCCTGATGATTTCAGTAGGTATTTGCCCAGGTAACTTTTGCACTGGAAGAGCTCTCCAGACTTTGAATTAGACAGAACTGTCCCAAAAGAGGCCAATCGAGAATGTAATTAATAGACTCATTTTGATCTGTAAGTTAAAATAGTCATACTTATGTCATTAAAGAAGCAAACAGACCTTAAGAGCAAACACCCTGGAGACAGAAAGATAAAAACACTTGGAAAAATAGGACAAAGTCAACAAGACGCTTTGCCCCTCCTGCTTAATCCAAACCAGATGTGTCTCAGGTGGATGCCTTGA